GAAATCTTTATTTGATTCCAAGCTGAGTACATTCGTTTGAAAAAAGTCAATATTTGCATAAACGTCCGCAGTTTAGTAATGATATACAAATTTACAGCGGTATTAAGGTAAGGTTATGTATGGAAAAGTTAAGGGAGGAATGGACAAGAGAAAGGAAGCAAGAGGATAAGGAAGGACAGCGTAAATTTAACAAAATGAATCAACGATGAATTAGATAACGAGAATGTTGTTGAGAAATTGAACCTCTGAAGAGTGCTAATCCTCGTATTGTGCTTCTGTAATAGTTCATAGTTTTTTCCCTCGATAACTGCACCGGAAACGAGACCACACCTATGGCTGATCAACCGCAGTAAGACCTCGATTAGCGAACTGGTAAAAAGAGAAAATCTGTAGAATAATATAACGCTAATAAAAATCCATTTGAAACGTGTTTTTGCCATGCATAGAAGTTCGGATAATGGAACTGCTGAATTAACCCTTATAGTACCTTATGAATAGACTGCGGATTTTTATACAAAATAATATTTTATAAAGTGATTTATAAAGACAAGAGCAAAAATACGAATTTCCTTTTTCTCTAAAGTATCTCCTATTGGATTAAAAGTAGAAAAACGATCTCGTTACATCTGATGAAAGGTTTGTCTTTCATTGTATTTTACAAAGCTCTGTAGTCTATAAATGCATGAACTCCGCAGTCTATTTATAAGTTTTCCTGGTACTGTCCAAAAATAGCTTGAAAAATATCCAATATTTCAGGTATCTATAAAAACAGAAGATATTTTCACGTTTTTTAAAAATTTTATTATTTCTATCCAGTAAACATATGTTCCACTATATACAAACTTATTTTATAAAAATAAAGTGTCGTTACATTTGTTTAAATTATACTAAAAAATGGAAAGCCGATATATCGGCTCAAAGTATTTTTCGGAATACTCACAAAGCCGACATATCGGCTCTAAGGTACCAATAGGGTTGAGCAACGTTCGGATAAACAGTGTCGCAATAATCGAGGTTCTACTGTACTCCAAATGTCCCAAATCGAATTAACCCAAAATCACAGTACGAGGATTAAAGGACTCACAAAGATATAATGGAGAGAGTGAAATCCATAATGGTTACAAACATACACTGAATTCTCTCGACTGGAATCAGTCAATTGGTGAAATTAGAGGATCCATCGGTGGCGGTTCATCCGCGGTTGGGGCACCCAGCCTCTAAACCCCGAATGCACTGGTTACGACGACGATGACAACACGCTCGCGATAGTTGTCGGCCGCGTGCATTCATCGATGACACGATATATGCGCGCAAACGTGTATAGTATGTACGTGTGGGTACGTGAAAATATATATGTGTATATACGCTATTACGGCAGGCCGCCGAGCGCACGGTTACTTGGACGGAAAAGAGCGCGACAATTACGTTCGAATAAGCAAGGCGCGGACAGAGGGGGCAGAAAAAAAACAGAGGGGGGGTGAAGGGGTCGAGAGAGGTAGCCTGTTAGAGAAAGAAATATCGGGCCCGTTCGTGAGAGTGAGTAAAGACGTGCGGGCGGAAGAAGAGGGAGAGCAAGGGTAAGAGAGACGTAAGAAAGAGTGACACGAATGGTGAGGGACGAGGATGAAAGTGAGAGAAAGAAGAAAAAGATACGCGTTTAGGGTGGCGGAACACAACATGTAGAGAGAAAGAGGTAAGGACAGGGTCCGTCAGAAAAAGAATGAGAGAGAGTTACGGCGAATAAGTTGAGGAGGGTGGGATGCGCGAGGTGGAAGGCAGAGGGTTTCAGAAGAGGTTTGTAGAAGGGAGAGGGACGACGCGGACGAAAGAGAGAGAGAGAAAGAACATAATGAGAGGGAGTGAGTCGCGGCTGCGTCATGTTCTCAGCGAACTGGGTCAGTGGGTCTCCCCACCACCTCGCCGTCGCACATCTACTGCGACGTACACACACATAGAGAAGCACTGGCACTGTCGGGGAGTGCCAACGGCGTTACTGTTGACCCAGCCACGGCCTGTATGTGGCCTGTGCGCCTGCCCTGTGACCGCTTACCGCGCGCCACGGCTCACTCTGTGTGGTGACCGTGTGTACGTGTGTGTTTGGTTCCCCTGTGCTCTTTGAAAGCAAGAGTTGTTCCATTCGATCCTTCCCGTGCGAGCTGCATTTCTTACGGAGGGAAAAGGAAGGATGTACAGACCACATACAAACGGGGTACACGTTGCTTCTCGTTCCTTACACATTCGTCTTTAATCTTACGTAGCAAAAACAAAAAACCGATCCGCCATGAAATTCTAAATCCTAAATTCAAGCTAGATAGTCTGGCACTACGTTCAACCAGAATTTTTTTTTAAGCTCTGACCGATTTTTAAAATCGATTCCCATTTCCCTTGAAAAAAATGAAACCAAAGTTTCCCAAAGTCGGTCGCGTATGAACGGAGGATATACGTTAAACGAAGTCGGGTTAAAGGGGCGGGTATCGATTCGAATTACCCGGTGCGGGACACCTCGTGTATACACACACGCCGGGGGTACGTATTCTCGCCGGGCAGGAAAACCAGCCAGAACACAGCACAGGCCAGCATCGGGCGACAAATACGGTCGACAAAACGGCGGCGCGGGCACGGCGGGTAACGGCGGCAGACCGGCGCGGGAGCGTACGAGGACAATACTTCTCCGGCCGACATAGACCTGGTTCCGTAAGTAGGTCATCCCCGCCACTGTGCCGTGCACAACCTCCTTCTCCCCTCCTCCCCCAATCCCTTCGACCGCCGCGGCAATACCTCCCGTACCCTCCTCCGCCGTTCTCCTCGCCGCGCAACGGACTCCCTCTCCTCCCGAACCTCGTGTTGCTCCCTCCTCCCTCCCCGTCCTCCCACCCCCCTCCCCCCACTCAGACGGGGCCCTCCGTGGCACCTCCACTACTCTCCGTCGGGCACCTGGCCGCCGCGCGCGGTGGCATGCGCTGCTGAATCACTTTCACTTATGCCGTGCGCTGTGTTGGTTATACGGCTGTGCTGGTTCTCTCTCTCTCTCGCTCCCGCGGCTCTCACACTCGACCCGTCGGTAAAGGGACACACGCGCGCGCGCTCGCTCGCTCGCTCGCCTCGTTCCTTCTCTTCTCTCCTCTATTACCCACCGAAACGCCAAGGGAGTCGCAACGCGACGCGACCGACGACAACGACGACGACGAATACGACGGTGGTGTGGTGGTGTTGTGTGCGCGCCTCTCGCCGTTCTCCCGGTTCTGGCCAATTTTATTTTACTCCCGGCGGTGTCACGGTGAAGCGCGTATCTCTGGTGGTACTGGGCCGAACCCCACGGATCCGTGTCTATATACTTCGTTTCTCGATCCTGTGGAGGAAGTAGCCTACAGTGTGTATCGTCGCCCCGTGGTCTTGTGCGGTAAAACGCGCGTGTATCGTCGTCTGTTGTTTTTTTTTCTGTCGTGTTGTTTCTCGGTTGTCTCAAGAACACACATTGCTATCAACACAACACAACCAATAACAAACGGTAGAACGAGAGGAATCGAAGAACCGTGTGTGTCCTGTGGTATATTCGAGGGGAAAGAAAACGTGTGTGTTTTTTCGTGTGCTGCTCGAGACGCCTGTTCCCGTGAATCGCCGAGTCAGTCTATCGGTCCGTTGTAAACGCCTGGGCTCTCTGTGATATGCGTGTGACGTGTACCCGTGTCTCACGAGACGACGACGACGGTCTCCCGACTCTATCTACCTCCATGTGTCTACTACGGTAGGGCGGCCGAGGGGAGGGGGCGGGCCCTTCGGGAAAGCAACGAGGCGAGAAGACAACTAGTCGTACGCAGATAGCCGAGCTGTCAAGTCGTACGTTCCCGGGAGGATTGGAGGATTCCATATTTTTCTCTTTACGTCTCTGTGTGTGTGTGTGACACTCTTTTTCTCATAACTCCAGCCGGACTCTGTTTACGTCCCCTGTTTTTTTTTTTTTTACCAACGGTGCGTTACTTTGGATTATTGCTGCAGTGCTTGGTGTGTGCTTGTGCGTGCGCGGGCTACCTCTGTCTCGCCCTATATTTACCTCACGGGCGCACAACATTATTCTGTGAGAACGCCGCGCGTCGTAGGTTGAAACTTTGTTTCGGCGTACGCATGTTGTGACACAACACCAGCTCGTAAAACGCTTACCTGACGGATTCGCGTGTTACTGGAAGAAATAACGGGGCACCGATTGTTTATTTTTTTTTTTTTTTACCGTCCGGTGGATCCACTCGAAGTGGTCATTCTCCGTGGCGTGGACAGCCAACCAGCCAGCCAGTTTAATCTCGTGTGTGCCGATCGTTGTTTCGTGTCACGATATAACGTTTGGATTATCAGTGGCCGAGACCGGAGAGAAAGATAGGAACAAGAGAGGGACGTGGTGGTGGCTTGTTGTACCGAGAGGGGCATACACGAAGACACGAGGCCTTCGATATAGGGCATGCAACAGTGACAACCGTTTTCGTTAATTATTTTTTGTCCATTCGCTTTCTCATGAAAACAAAAGATTTCCGTTTTACGATGATTCGGACGTAGTCGTATCGGTTCCGAGACCCCGAGAGTGGTTGTGCGCGATGGTTTCGTTCGTAAACGTGTGCCACAGAAAAGCGTGACTGGTGAATCGATATTATAACGTGTGCCAAGGTAGAGAGGACCAAGTGTGTTTTCTTTATGCGCTCCCGTGTCGTCTATGTTGTCATCGTCGTCGTATTTTCATACGTTACCGGTGGTATACTCTAGTACACCCCCAAGTAACCACACGACCTTACACGAGTTTCGGGTGCATCGTGTGTGTATGCGTGTCTGTGACACGCATCGAAAACCGAAAACGCAGCAAATAACAATCTGCAACTATTCTCATACTCCAAATGGCAAATATATGTTCATCGCTCTAGCGTCAGATCGACCGAACGAGCATTCGTTGGCTACCTCATATATGAACCGATACGCCAGGAGCACGTACCTCCGTGCAGTGATTGCGCAAGGGTGATATGTTATTGGAGATGGAGCAGCATTCGGGCCTGATATCCCTGAATATGTCGCCGTTCCATCTGAGCCCGCAGGGTAGTCCCCAAGGTGCGGCCGGTGCCGGTCAGCAACAGCAACAAGCGCAACAGCAACCGCACTACGGTTCCTCGCCATACGGGAATTGCGCCCAGAGTCCACCCTCCACCATGTGCCACCAGTCGCAGTCCCAACAACAGCAACAACAGCAGCAACAACAACAACAATTATCGGTTCACAGTCAGTCCCACTCGCAGAGTAGTATCTCGAGCTTCGACGCGGCGTTTTTCGACTCTACCGCGTTGGAGGAACGTTGCCCGATGTGCGGGGACAAAATGTCCGGCTATCAGTACGGTTTACTCACGTGCGAGTCGTGCAAGGGTTTCTTCAAACGCAACAGCTCGCCGTGCAGTAGTAAGAAAGTATACACGTGTTTGTTCTCGCCGACTGGTGGAGGAGGAGGAGGTGGGGGAGGAGGTGGTGGTGGTGGTGGTGGAGGAGGTGGCGGTGGAAATGGTAACAACAGTGGTGGAACCGGTGGATGCAACGCATCTTCAGCGCTCGAGATCGGATCTTGTGGCAACAAGAAGGTGTACACGTGTCTGTTCTCGCCAACAGGGGCCGGAAGCGGCACCGGAGGCAATGGCGGCAGCAACAGTGCGGCTAACGGCGCTGGAGGTGGCGGCGGCGGTTGCGGAACGTCGACGGCCCTCGAGAGTACCGGGAGCAGTTATAACGGCGGGCCCGCCAGTGCCGTCGGGCCCGGAGGTACGGGTGGCGGCGGTGGTGGCGGCGGTGCGGGCGCCGCTGGTGGCGGTGGTGCGGGTGCCGCTGGCGGCAGTGGGCCCACCGCTGGAAACGCCGCCGCTGGCGGCGGTGGTAGCAGCGGCACCGGAGGAGGCGGAGGCGGCGGATCCGCAACGGTAAGCGGCAATGTCGCCATTCCAACTACCACCTACTCTTTACCATCTGGTACCATCTGTCATCCTGGATTGGGCCAGGTCGGGGTTGGCGTGGTCACTGGCTCGATACCATGTCCGTCCGACTTCCCTGATACCAAGGACATCATGATCGAGGAGCTATGCCCGGTCTGCGGGGACAAGGTCTCCGGATACCACTACGGGCTGCTCACCTGCGAGTCCTGCAAGGGTTTCTTTAAGCGCACCGTCCAGAACAAGAAGGTCTACACGTGCGTCGCCGAGAGGTCCTGCCACATCGACAAAACGCAACGGAAACGGTGTCCGTTCTGCCGTTTCCAGAAGTGCCTCGAGGTCGGCATGAAGCTTGAGGGTGAGTTTCTTTTATTATTACTATTATTACTCTTTAATTCGCGGGTTTCGGGTTGTTGGGAATGGTTTGTCGTCCTTGTAGAACATTGGTTGTAAAATTAGGTTATGTATAGTTTTTGAAATAGAATTTTCTTAATTTAGTTTTTAAAACGGAAGTACAAACGACACGTGATAGAGGAACGATTTTATTTAGAGAAACGACCAACCATCGCCATCAATCTTAACATCATTTTAGAATGTATATCTTGTTACCGCGTATGTTTTTACCCGGGTTGCGGCATGCGTTTTACTCTCAAAAGTATCGCGAAAATATCGAAGACAAACCGGCCGGAATGATGAGAACGGTAAATAGCGACGCGAGGAATCTCGCCGCGGCGTGTTACGCAAACAGATTTTATTCGGCCGACGATATATGGGTGCTCATTTTTTTGGGATGTGAAAGCGTTGCATGCGGGTGTCGTCGTCGTCGCCGTCGTCGTCGTCGCCGTCGTCGTCGTCGTCGTCGTCGTTTTCGTCGCGACGTTTTATGCAGAGACTCTGAAAGAACGAAAGCGCGTGCACACACGCGTATGTAATATGCGCTCGAGTAGACTTCGATGTTCAATTATGCAATATGATCGTGGGACGTGCGTTTCTCTGCACACGTGCGTGTATGTAACAGGTCCCCAGCGGGCTAGAAGCATCCGTGGTTGTCGATTCGAAGGGGGACATGAAAATTTTAATAGATCAGTGTACGCAACCATCCCCGTGGCTTTTCTATTTTATGACCGGTAACAGGTTCATAATGGCCACGCGCGACGGCTGACGAAATATCGCCGGTATGCAAATAGTCGTCGCTGACTTGGGAGGGGACCCCGTAGAATTCTTGTCCCCAGTCAAATTCTATTGTAATACATACGATTATATTTACTTTCACCGCGTGTTAACGAGCGACCGAAATAACCCTCTCTCTCTTTGTCCCGGTATCAGGCCGTACGTTAAATGTTACCACATTATTATCAACCTTACCGTTATCTCTTATTCAATATCTTTATGCGTACACGTACCCTACCCGATACGTCAAAAGTCGTTTACGCGCGAACGCGTGCACACGGCTGTTCTCTCGCCGCGGTTCGGTCAACCTCGGCCCCTTTCGGTACACTTCGGCCGTGTCCGTTCGCGCTCGACCGTTCTCGCATCACGCTCCTACGAACTTAACCTTATTACACACCGTGAAGCGATCAACCGATACTGTCTTCCCTCGCGAATTCTTTCGTCGTTCTAACGCTTCTGACACGACCGAACGAACACACCACCACGCTCCTTTCCTCTCTCTATTCGCCGCCTGATCCAGCACAGCCGAACACGCGCGTTCCATTGTCAATTTTAATATCGTTCCGTGACGACGTGGATCGCGGCCACGTTCGAACACGAGACCGATTAGGCAAACCGTTCTTACATACGCAATAAGGAATTCGCGATATACGGTGCTGGACGAAAGTATTGGCACATCGAGATTACGATCATAGATGTATCCAACACGCTCGCCGTGGATAGACCCCTGCGCACACGTTTTTTCTTTCCATAGAATTTGTTTGATTTTCGACAAGTGAAGAGATAAACCCCCTAGGGAACAGCCAATCGCCTTGCAACAAAGCAGAAAATCGATACCGGTTCAATTCTCTTTCATGCTGAAATTTTTCTTATTTAAATAATGACGGTTAAACGAAAGTTTCCAAGTCATATTTTTATGTATACTTATATGTATAAACGAATACCATATTCTTACAATAGATCTTCTCAGAATTCATGTAGTCTTAATGGTAGATATATATTTCTTTATTGATAAGAAGTGTGACTTAATAATCTTTAACACATATATATGTTAACAGTATATCTACTTACACTCTTAAACCCGTTCTTCTGAGTCCATGCAGTATACGTGCTGTTGGCAATAAATAGACTACCATTGCTAAAGTTTGCTTCTTCTCTGTTAAAGTCTGCTTTATTACGTTACAACGTGTTCCTATTTAACGTTCTTATGACTGCCACGGTACGATAGAATCTAGCCTTCCAAGACTTAAAAGATCATCCGATTACAAAATATAAATATTCAAAAGAAACAAAAGACGTGATAAAACAAACACTGCACCCTCAACACGAATTAAATTAATGTTCATTCGAGAACACAACCTCTTCATATCTTCAAAACCCAAAGGAACAATCGCATGTGTGTATCATATCATACCGACCGCGTCCCGTATCGCAACGGACGTGCTAATAAGGTGAAAACTCACTGGCGGTAACTAAACGAATAATTAAGAGCTCGTTTTCTTATCACTGTAATTAATTTCGTACTCGAAATCACGTGGACGTTAACACCTTTCCGCGGTGGAACCGTCCCGGTAGTTTTCTAAATGCATCTGCGAGAAGGTGGGTTTTCACGCACGGACTCTGATTCGCTTTCAAATAATGCAAATTTTACGGGAAAGTCGTCGTGTGGCGCTGCGATCGCGAAGTCTCTGGGCAGTGGTCGTTGTCACCGTGTGTCGCCGAAAACACCGGCGACTGCCTACGGAGAGGAGGGGCCTCATTGCTAGGGGGACGGGAGAAGCGTCTAATGCAATTCGAGTAACTGGGTCTAGGCCCTCAAGGCCCGGCGATTAAAGCGAATCTCGAAACAGGCTCTGTCGCAATTGCCGCCTTTGCACGCCGCGTTTTCCACGGCGTTCCTGCACCGGCACTGGGGGGCGATTGCTTAACGCGGAAAGTTTCCAGAGTGCTTGCGAGTGTTTACGAAAGGAAGCAGTTTCTTACTTGCCCGCGCTATTCAGAAACGTTAAAACCCACCCGTCAGCATATAAAAGTTTGACCGATTAGGTATAAACGGCTCGTTTAATGTTCCCGTTGGCTGAATAATGCGTTGACGTTCATTCGGACCACGCGTCGACGTCGATAAGACGGCCATTAAAATTGCATCGATAAGTACCTTCGATTTCTGACACGGCAGCGTTTCAAAGGTCCCCCAAATGTATATATAATTGGTAGTACAGCACCGATACCAAACAAAAACATAGGACAGAGTCGTATTCCGGCGCGACATTGTTCCGATACGAAAACTTTTGGAAGTCAGCATTAATAACCGAACTGTTCACGACGCGTTGAAGCTGTTTAGACATTTTTTCTGCCGCTGAAGCATCTTTCGGGTAAGCGTTCAAACTGTGCTATTTTTCACGCGTATCGAACGCTGCAGTGCCAGTTTCGCGTAACTTTCGCCAGTTTCTTACTGTACTTATCGATTCTTGTGCGCGTATGGATGGTATAGTTGGTCTCGCTTGAAAAGTTAGGTTATGTAAATTTCAAAATAACCTTCTTACAACTACATAGCCTTTTTCTCAGTCAAAGCGTCGTACATCTTAATTATCGCGTTTGTGCGCTTAGCTTTGCGAACATTGTTCAACAGACTAGCAGAAATCGGGAGGTACGTTGAAACAACGGTTTAAAGTATATACACTTGTAAATGTGCGACAACACCTGCCCCCCCTCCCTGGTTCTGCAACAGACAGACCGGCTGCTTGCACTGGCCCGTGAATACGAGAGAACAAGCGTCATTTAGCGTAATGAGCGTGTTACATCTCGGTTCTCTGCTTTAGAGTCGATTGAAAACCATCCTCTCTTTGGATGCTGTGCGAACTCACCAGGCCGAGTGTATTTCACACTTGTTACCACGAGATTAGAAAACTGTGGCAGTGAGATTAGTCGTTAGAAACTTAAAACCCTTTGCATCAAGTCTAAAACTAAACTATCTACATAGTTTTTCAATCCACGCCGAAGTTTGGACAATGGACAAGCTAATCGACACTGAACTGTAGGTTATAACCTAATTTAGACACTTGACACGCACTACACTCTTAACCCGTTTAGTACCTTACAATTTTTCTGTGTACCATCTAGAAGTACCTTGGAAAGTATGCATTGTTGAAGGTATTTATTAAAATTAATATACTTTTTCTAAATATAAAGATAAATTTACACTTTTTGTTTTGGTATTGTATTGTAAGGCGTATTTTGTTTCACATACAAAATGTTGGAAGTATTATACTTTAGGCAGATTCTGTATCAGAATTTATAATTTGTATTGCATATGAATAGCCGGAATATCGGTTCAAGGTATTTATGGCACAGACCACAGAACCGATATTTCGGCTTTTGGGTATTATGGGGGTCAAATGTTGCCATTTATAGTCTCCAGATGAAATTGGCCGAAATTGAAATTATAACAGACTTAAATCTCGTCCCATTGGAATCATCGACGTACGATTGGGTCTTTCTACGCGGGGAGAACTGCTTGTCGACAGAATCGATACCTACTTCGTAAATGGAACAAAGCATATCCGCGCGACCGTTGTGGATCGTGTTCCATTCGCGAGCATCAAAAGGATTAGCGAAACTTTGTTCTTTTTTTTAATACTCTGTAAAATAATAGGCTCAGGTTGGCTGTTATATTCGTTAAGAGGGACCAGACGTCGCGCCGATTTGGTACACTTCAATTCGGAATTTTTAATTCCATTTTCGAGTGGGCGCCATATGCCTGACGGACCGAGGCGATCAAATATTGACGCTTCTCGTTCTCCTCCGGCTTCGGTTTCGCAGCTGCGAAATAATTTCTGCCCCCCACCCCCTGTGTGTCCTTATCCCATTTTCGCGATCCGGGGCGCCGTCGAACTATTTCACTTTCGCGTTTCTGTCCGATTTCACCGAAAAAAAAAAACACCGTCCATGAAACGCCGTGCACAATTGTTCGGCTGCATAATATCGGCGTTGAACTGTAATTAGTCGAACGATTCCGTACGTGAAATATATTTTTAACGATATTTCGCTCTTGAGGGTTTACATGTCCAAATTTTGAGGATTTATTCTATTAAAAATTATCTGCAGAAGTATCGTTGTGGATCTTTCGGCTCTTCCACACACATAATTAATTTATTTAACCCTCTAATGGTACGGTTCGGGTCGTATCCG